TGCAATTGATAATAACAAGTTGTGTCCGACCATGAGATGTGATGATTGCCCATACCATAATGCTTCTACCAAACTGTCGACGTTGAACAACGCACAGATCACCATACCGTTCACCTTGCTGTCTGTACACCCTTGCCCAGCTATCTGAGCTGTCATCTCAACAAAACACTATCCCAGTCTTGTCTCCGGTACCGTAGATGCTGTCTGCACCAGGCAAGACATGCCTGTCAGTGACGTGGGTTCAAAATTGGATGTATTGCAGGCAGTCCTGGCCGAATGTTGTTCTCCCTCCATACAGACCTAGAACTGATTGGACTTAAGCCAGGAGTGGTCTGAGCAGTCAAACTGGCAGTATAGAATCGATTCCTTGGAAGGGTCAGCCACATGTGGTTGTCTTGCTGACATGGTGTCATGCATCAGAGGCAAATCTCTTCTGTTCCCATTCTGTTAATAATGTCTCCATATAGGTGAGATCAAGTTTCGATTGACACCAAAATGTCTGGCCACTTCATTTTGGGACATTCCAGTCTCCAGCTTATCCACAGCATGGTAACGCTGATTTTCTGTAAGCCGTGGCTGTAAAATGTCATCAGGGGCAGTGTTATGACTGCCAGCGCTGAAGAGCCAATCCTGAGATTCAAAAGATGGCTGATCTACTCCTCTGGAGTAGACTGTTTTAGGCCAATGAACACCAAAATTGGCCGCTGAAGAGAGAAACGATTCGGAGCGATCTTCAAGTATCTGACAACCAGAGCCATTAATTTCGATCTGCTGGAATCTATGGACATGGATGTATTCCTGATGGCTTTTCGTTGTTTCATCTCCAGAAACCCATGAAATCCTGTCTAATATATATGGTGGCGGTCTGTAAATTATCGAGTCTGGACCAGACAATCCAGGGATCAACAGTATGAACATCAATCTACACAACTGGGATACGATGACATGTGTCAACCCAGTCAGCGAGCCTGACCACTCGATCCTGTTAGTCGCCTCGTACGACAAGCATGGGTTACTGAAGACCAATTCAAACCCGGACCTTCATGGGTCTACAGAGAAGTCATCAATCAAAAATGGATCCATCTGAAGGGCCTCAACTGAAAGTCACCTTTCCACTCCAATGGTTTAAAGTGAAGTGCTATATATGGACAAGAATTCAGTAGAATTGTTCACCAATCACTGAAAGTGTTTCGACTTGCTCCCTCTCATCTAGTAGTATAGGGAATGATAGTTTCGGCTCAGGTCCCTACTAAGTCTTAATTTTATTAATTAAGGCTCCATCAATGATGAAAAAATGGAGCCTGGGTGACTGAGAGCATAATTGATATACACTGAAATTGTTTAGCAAAATGTCCGCTGTGGTCACAATCCCACATGGGAGAAAGAAATTGTAGATAGATGCGATGGGCATTCCAATCCATGAATCCAATCCTGGCCGAGTGTCTATCCAAACAGCAGATCGAATTCAAATTCAATCCACCATATGCTCCACATTTCGGTGATACCTGGGATCGAGAAATTAGATCTGCGAAACATGGACTTTGTACTGTTCTAGGTTTTATACAGTGATGTTTCCGATGTCGACCCAATTACTCTCTTCTCACTGCTAATTGGGAGGGCAGATCCATCCCATCCTTATGTGGTCTACCGTGCTGATCAGAGACTAGGGAAGAGCTGGGGGCGACACTACCAAACTGTAGCTGATCAGTACTGGAAGACGTTTATCATGTTCTACTTGCCCAGTCTGCAACTGAGAGATAAGTGGTACAAAGATGGACTTGACCTCAAAGTTGGAGACCCTGTCCTGATCGCTGATAGCCAACAGGTCCCGAGGACAGTAGCCTGTTGGAAGGATTTTTTAAGTCTGCCCGAGCCCTGATTGCAGAATCCGGTCTGTTGTCGTACGAGTATCTAGGGGTGACAAGTACCACAGATCAGTGACCAAGCTGGTGCTGCTCCCAGAATTGCCATGAGTGATGTAATTTCTTAGGCTGTCCTAAAATGTCAGGAATAATCCTAGAGTTTCAGGGATAATTATAAACCCTAGTTCGTTTTAATGTTCCTGTTCCATTTTTATGTCCATTACCCAGATAGCAAAGGTGTGTTGGGCCAATGTTGGTATATGGTTGGTTGGTTGGCCAACAGTTTGACAACATTGGCCCAACGTTATCTTAATGACTTAAAAGTAACGGTGGCTTTTGACACGTTGGTCCAACAGTGGGCCAACATTTGAAAAACTCTGCCTATGTTCCCTGATCTTACATCTATTTTTTTACAAAGTTGGGCCACCGTTGGCCCAACATTGTGAATAAAAGAGTGAGCACACGGCCATTTTTAGCCATGTTTTCTTATAAAGATTTTGATGAAAGTTGAAATAATTACACAGACAAAAAGAAAGAATCCATTTCCCTGTTTTTTTAACTATGATGCAGTGAATATTACAGCATTGTTTTCTCCAAATTGAATACCAAACTTGTCATCATTGATAGCTTTACCTGATATTCAAAGAGCAGACGACACTACATTTCTGGAGGCCTTCAACTGGTAAATATGCTTTGTTATTTCTGTGATACTGAATTGCGAATATATTGTGAAATAATTAATTAAAATCATCATTTAGGCTAAAGAAACTGACACATACCGTACTGAAAGGCAATTGATTGAGTAGATAAAAGATTTAATTGACTCTTTTCTGTAGTTAGCCTGTTTTAACCACTTTGATAAATCTCATTTCATTTTAAATTATTTAAATTTATTGTGTTTACTTTATTAACATTATGTGTTTGTCAGTTACACTCCTGTTTCCATATACAACTCTCTCTATTATTCATCTTTACAACCAATAATTGCTAAACATCATCATATCAGATATATGTGTCACAGTTATAGTAGTTACACATCATATCCAAATAAAACATTGTTTGAACAGCATTCTAGAAGTTGGTCAGTCAAAAATGAAACATACAACTCTATGGATAACAACTTTTTGTTTATTGTATAGAGCGACGTTTCGATGTAGATTCTTACACCGTTATCAAGCTAAAAGTGACTACAACCAAATGATGAGAAGTATATATACATGTACATAGTATGTTTTGTCAAATAAACGTAATTGGGAGCGGCCAGTTGGGGACTAAGAACAACAAATGGATCTAGTGATGAAACCAATTAACAAGGGAGGGGGGTGGGGTGTTAGGTTGTAACAACCTGATAGGGTGATTTGATAGAGTCTATAGTTTGATTAGTTCTTCATATCCCAATGGTATGTAGTATCCTTGGTCTCTATTGATCAAAGGTTTGTGGCGGCTGATTTTGATGGCTTCCAAAAGTTTTCTTTTTGTGCCGTCCTGATTCTTGGTGGATAAGATTTCGAATTTGTCAAACCAGCCCCCTAAAACTAAGTTTGGCATCATCTCAACCCTGACCAAGCACGCTAAGAACATTGCTCCAGCAGCCATGACCTAGAACATGAGCGGAACCACCTACAACATGTCTTCATGAGCCTCAACCAGTAACCCACCAACTCATAGTCTGTTTGATTTCACTTGAGACCAATGAATTGCTCACTAACACAAAATCAAATAATTGCAACAAAACCAAATTTTGCAGTCACATGAAAACGACAGACCAATGAAGAACTAATCAAACTATAGACTCTATCAAAGCACCCTATCAGCTTGTTGGTACAACTGAATCCCCCCTCCCCCGGTTTATTGGGTTCATCACCATTCCATTTGTTGTTCTTAGTCCCCATCTGGCCTCTCCCAATAATGTACCAGTTGTTATTCAATTACATGTTGTTGTTAATGTCAATCTGCTAATTGTCAAAACATACTACGCATATATACTTCTCATCATTTGGTTTTAGCTTGATAACAGTGTAAGAATCTACATCCGAACGTCACTCTGTGCAATAAACAAGAAGTTTTCAATCATTAAGTTGTACATGGTATGTTTCAAATAAAACATAAGGCCAAATACTATGTCCTTTTACGATTGATATCCGACAGTATCATGAAATTTTTGGGTTGTTTTTTTTCAGGAGCAGTTCGAAAAAACTGTCAGCGGCGACAGCCAAAAGACCTAAAACAAGAATATTTTCAAGAAATACAATAATGTTCAAATAACAATGAAAAAAAGAATTAAATAGTTCACTTGATTAACTTGTTGTGTTGTTTATATATGTTTCTGATTGCAGAGGTCAGGAAAGAGCTAAATGTTGAAATACAGTTGTGCCAACATAAGGCCAACTAAATCACATCGTTGGGCCAAGTATGGGCCATGGTTTAGTACAAAGGTCAAGAAAGAGCTAAATGTTGAAACATGGTGGTGCCAACATAAGGCCAACCAAATCACTACGTTGGGCCAACTATGGACCATGGTTTTGTGTGAATTTTCATTCGTTGGCCCAACAATTAGCCAACATGATGGGCCACTGTGGAGCCGATGAGCATATCCAAGTGGGCCCATCGTCAGTTTGACAACAATGGGCCAACCAAACCGTTGATTATGGGCCAACTATGGGCCAACATATCAATGCTATCTGGGTACTAGTCCTACTTTCTTATTGTTGTGATTCCATGCCGTTCCACTGAACCATGTGCTCTGATCCGTGATTCCGAGTGTGAACCTTGTTAGATGAACTGTGTGTGAAAGTGTCACAATTTAACAGCTGTCAGAATGAATCAAATCAAATAGTGACTTCTATTCAAGACGTTCATTTTCATTTTGAGTATTCATTCATGAATTACTTTTATAGATAAAGCACAACATTTTAAAAATACCCAAAAGCATATGTATGCACATAACATGTCAGGGTTTTATTTGACAATTACTGTCACTGGTTAAATTCAAACATGGGAACATAATTCTGTTTTGAAGTATTGAAGTTCAAATTGAAATAGAAAGTAACCGCCCTACACCACATATTAACTGATCTGATACTAAAGCTAAAATGTATGTAACATTTTTAACTACTCAATTTCAATGGTGTGATCCAGAGAGGAAAATGGTCGGAAACGGGTCCGTCAACTCCACAAGCAGCTGATTGATGTTAAGAAAGAAAAAGAAATGGAGATGCAACAGAGAAATGAGATGATTGCACATCTTAAGGATCAGCTGCAGGAAATGAAGGCTAAGACCAACATGGAAGGAAAGTACATCAAGAAGTGTGCTGAAGTTGCTGTCACACAGACACAGAAAAGGTGCTTTCTGTCAGAGAAGGAAATGAAAGATGAGATAGAGGTAAATGTTGCTTTCAGAATGAAGTTTATATGGATGCAAATGTTTGGGAATGCTCAGGTACTCATGTTTAAAGATAGAAAACAGCAGGACACCAAGGTACAGTAATATCCTGTCATATGATATCTTTATTCAGGAGTTAAGGAGAAATGATGAGACTTTCGATCAGGGTCAAAAACTGATTGCATACATGTTCTACATTTCCCTTGTTACAGCCATCATATCAACTGACAATGACCCAAAATGTGAAACTCATCTCATCTCACACTATGCATTATTTCCTTCTTCTTTGAGTATGGAACTAAGAGAGGCCTCAGAACTAAGTTTCCAGCTTCAATTGGGGGATAACTGTACTGTGTTTGACGAATTTGGGACGTATACCGGTGGTTATATAGCCGCAAATTTAGTTATATTGGCGACGCGTAAACAGCGAAACAGCGTTACCCCAATAGTGTAGGGATACATTCAAAGGTTTCGGTGAATCGGTTTTCAAATTGCGACCGTATATGCTGATTATACGGTCGGAAATTTATAGCATTGACCAATCAGAACTCGTGTTACATACTAAGTTGAATTAGAATGCAAAATAACTCACCTGAACACTTCCCACATCACCATGATCATCACTGAAACAATTGGTCACATTCCATTGCAGTGTCATGCAATTTGTCCCTGTGTGACTATATCACATGACAAACTCTGCCTCATCAATTTCTTTTTCATCACCAATGTCTTGAGACATGTCCTGAACTTGTAAGGTATTTTTTCTTCTTCTTTTTTTATCATTACCGTATATTACAGTAGGTAAGCCGAGGTCCTAACTTGACCTTTAAAATCAGAGTATCAAAATGGTATGTTCCATAAATAAGCCGACCTATGAACCTTCGCTCATCTTTCCGTCATGATCAGTCGTCGGAAATAGAGTGTCAACAAATCCATATTGAATTACACAAGTTAATCCTGTTGTTATACTATCTCATAATCAAACATGTTCTTTGCATATATGGAATTATGTTTGCAATTATAGTTTATTAACTTTACTCGAAATGTCAAAAAAGAATGTTTATATTAACTGCAGTGAAATCATGTGTTACTTACGCCTCGAAATGAAGTGTAGTTGACAGAAAATGGTGCGAAACCTCATCAGTGACAGGTCAAATCATGCGTAAAAACTATCCGGCAATACACCAAAGTGCTGTTGCATAACCTTAGTCATGATAATAAATATTTTACAGTTATAGAGCAAAACCTGCAATTGAAATAACAATATGCTAGAATATATTTCTCTTGGTAAAACAATAGTTTCAGATACTATATTTTTCAGATCATTGCATCAGAATTCATCTCATTGTATTATTGGGTATGTTTTACCTAAATCACCAGTAGATCTCGAGGAAACATGCACAGCTGATTGCTATTTCCGGCTCTGTATATGAGACAAATACTCACGGTAATCCTAATTTAAGACAATGCCTAGCAAAACCAATTTAGAACTGAAAAGCTAAATAATCTTGTCTGGTGATGTTTAATTGCAAACTTGATGTCTTTACTGACAAAGTCGTCTTCTCTTGTTCGTTCATGCGAGAAAAGTTTGACGGAAGTGTAAGCTGTAGATAAACCAGCCCCCTTCTACAGACTGCTTTTTTTTGGTCCTAAAAATTTAACTTGTCTACAGTAATATACAGTATTCATATTTTCTTTTTCAACACCCTAGTTGTGGATAAATGCCTGTGTCAAAAGAAGTGCAGCCACATTTTTTCTGTGGCATATTCTCACTCCTTATGTCGTGACTGCCACAACCAGAGATGTGCACAGAGCTCACATTTATCAGAGGAAGAATTTCATAATTATGTGTGCATAAGTGTTATAACCGCACCAAAGACCAGCAATTCAATTTGACTTCGGGTGACAAGGATCATGGTCTATCAAAGCAAAGGGAGTTCCACTTACAGATGTTCAGTCATCTGTTTCTGTAATGGATTAACACAAACCATATATCATCCCGTCTACCTTGGTGGAAGACGGTATTGTCTCGGATACTTTTCTCACCAAAGATATTTTCAGCAAAATCTCATTACCATGTCCTGTGCCTATCCAATGGACAATGCCCCCGCAGACTGTGACTTCACTCCGAAACACATACAGTTTTGTCTAAAGATACCGAAAAGTGAGTGAGTGAGTGAGTTTAGTTTTACGCTGCACTTAGCAATATTCCAGCTATACTAGGCACATAAAGAAACTGTGCATACAAAAATTTAAAATCTAAATTTATCAATCCTGTGTAGACACATAAGGATTTAAACTCAGAGATTAGTGACATGTATCCAACATGCATGCACGTGCCACGCTCCGTGACGTCAGTGGGTTCGTCCTTGAGACGTGCAATATGTTGTTGCACGTGTATTCCGGGAAAGAGAAACAGAGCAAATGAATGCCACACAATACTGTCACTTTGGAAAGCTCAACCGCTGCCCTTGCGATCGTTCAAAAAATTAAACGGCTATTGAAACGCATGGCATGCCAAGGCTCACGTCTGCACAACGTCATGAGGCCATTGGGATGGTCCATGGGGGAATGTCTCAACGACAAGTGGCTGCACATTTCCACTGCCACCGGAACACCATTTCTGCACTGGCGAGACGCTACCAGAACACAAATGACGTCATCAATCGGCCACGTTCTGGACGTCCACGTGTAACTACGCCAAGACAGGACAGATGGATAAGGGTGACCCATCTTCGCTACAGGTGTCAGACTGCAGTGATGACTGCCCGAACCATCCCAGGACTTCGCCGTATCCACCCCAACACAGTTTGACAACGTTTACGTCATCACGGGATCAGACCACGCCGTCCCGCCATACGGCCTATTCTGACACAATGTCATCGACAAGCTCGCCGAATGTGGTGCCGAAATCATGTCCGCAGACCCTTGTTTTGGTGGAGAAATGTTGTTTTTACAGATGAGTCCAGGTTTAACATTTCCCATAGTGATGGACGTCAATGTGCCTGATTTGGGGTGGAATAACAGCATGCCAAAGAACTCCTTTGGTGATTGTTCAGGGCAGCGTAACTGGTGTGGGCTACAGGGATCAGATTCTTCGACCTGTGGCAATTCCTTTTCTGCAACATCATGGCCCTGGGTTAACATTCCAACAGGACAATGCCCGCCCTCACACGGCAAGGGTTGCTATGGATTTCTTGCAACACCAGAACGTTGACTTACTGCCTTGGCCTGATCACCGTGTTTGGGTCGAGATGGATCGACGTCTACGCCGTCTTCCTCATCCGCCAGATAACGTCCTTGCCCTTACAACAGAACTAGAGAGAATCTGGCGTGACATCCCACAAGCCTTCCTTTCACGTTTGATAGGCTCTATGCCTCGTCGATGCACTGCTGTTCTCAATGCCGATGGTGGACATACCCGTTATTGAGCTTGTGACATGGTTGTTTGACCCCTGTCCCGCTTGTGGACTCGTGACGTCATTGTGATTGACTTTTCAATTTAAATTCTCTCGACTTGTTATGGTCTCATGATCCCTCCATTAAAGTTTATATGTACCTTTGACATTGTTATCGTACTTATCAACTGGGTTACTATTTTGACAATGCACAGTTTCTTTATGTGGCTAATATATATGGTGGCGGTCTGTAAATTATCGAGTCTGGACCAGACAATCCAGGGATCAACAGTATGAACATCAATCTACACAACTGGGATACGATGACATGTGTCAACCCAGTCAGCGAGCCTGACCACCCGATCCCGTTAGTCGCCTCGTACGACAAGCATGGGTTACTGAAGACCAATTCAAACCCGGACCTTCATGGGTCTACAGAGAAGTCATCAATCAACAATGGATCCATCTGAAGGGCATCGACCCTCAACTGAAAGTCACCTTTCCACTCCAATGGTTTAAACTGAAGTGAAGAGCTATATATGGACAAGAATTCAGTAGAACTGTTCACCAATCACTGAAAGTGTTTTACCTTGCTCCCTCTCGTCTAGTAGTATAGGGAATGATAGTTTCGGCTCAGGTCCCTACTAAGTCATAATTTTATTAATTAAGGCTCCATCAATGATGAAAAAATGGAGCCTGGGTGACTGAGAGCATCATTGATATACAGTGAAATTGTTTAGCAAAATGTCCGCTGTGGTTACATCCCACAAGTGAGAAAGAAATTGAAGATTGTGGGATTGCTTCCAACTGAATGCTCTCGATAACCTTACTATCGTTTCAGGAAATCTTTAGAGGCCAGACTGGATACGAACTCGCAATCGCACAGTTGCTCGGCTGCACAATGCAAGCTGTATTTTCCCAGCATTTTAGCGGACCGAGCCACCACGGCTCCTGTGGTATGGTTAATTGATTTTCCTGGTCTATGACCAGTTCGAGGTTGAGCAATCTAAAGATAGAGCGTTGGGTGAGTCACTGCAGGTGTTGTGTGTCTGTCATCTTGCGTGCTGAGCTGTCTGTCTGCGATTTCCGATTTCATTTTAATGGCGTCGGATGTTTTTTGCTGGTGAGACAAGTGATTTCGTGATTGATGACTGACACCACTTGAGGTAGCCGTGTGACCCATTTGGTGGCCTGCGATTTGTTGGTTTTATTCCCAATCATCTCGTGCGCATACTGATGTCCAAATAAACGCTCGGCTAAAGTCCTGTTGAATCTCTCGACTATGGCTTGGCTGGGATGAGCTCCGACCACATCCGCGCCTGATTTGGACGTCATGCTTGGCCAGTAGTTGTGACACAGCGCCCATGAACTCGCGTCCGGGATCGACTTGCAGCTCGGTGGGCCAGGTCAGTGGACTGAGCTTGCATATGCGCTCGTGTGAGCGCGACCCACTTGGGTCCAATCTTTCGCGGTTAAGGGCTCGGCGTCTTTGTAGCGACTGGTGACATATACTACGGTCAAGGCGTACTTGTAGGTTTTGCGTCTCACCCTATCGTGCGGTAGAAACAGGAGGTCGGCTTGTTGCACGCGATTGGGCCTCGA